GATGATGTTCCTTTGCACATTGTGCCAAGCCAGTGGGAAGAACTTGTGGAGTATTGGCGTACTTCCGATGCTGAGGTATACAATTACGTTATATTTATGATATGTAAACATACAAATCATATTTACATACTTACATTTGTTGAACCTGTTATAGAAAATTGCAAGTAGGAACGGCGGTTCAACCATTCATAAAGTAGGTTAAGTCACTCACTCAATATTTTATTATGTTTCATTGAATTTTGAACCAAATTTTGTTTTTTGATAAAATTTCAATTTACACAGCGAACACCTTGAAGTACTTAAGCTCGAAATGCCTCGTGTCGACGATCATCAACTTCGGCGTGAACATTTTGAAACTTTTCACATTTGGTTCAAGGAACATGTATGTATTTAACTCTATAGATTCTAGTTACTTAAGTCGAATTACATTTTAAATTTTACATTTTCGTGTTAAATAGGTTCAAACTTTGCGAAGGACTATTGATGTCATATTTTCTGAAGAGATTATTCTATTGGCAAATGGTCCTCATAACCTGGCAAGGAGGTTCAACGGGTATCTACTGAATGGGTTTCGGTATCGAGTAAAGGCCATGGATGGTTATCGAGCCACGCAAAATTGTGGTGTAGCTTTGAAGGCAGATACCATAAGTTATGCTAGTCGAAAAGACAAGAATCCTCGTGTGGGGTCTGTGTACTATTATGGACAATTGACAGATATTGTTGAGATTTGGTACGGAAATCCCGTATTTACATATCTCATTCACGGAAAGAAAGAAGATGTCTTCAATTTCACGTTGGTGAACTTCAATCATTTGTTGTATCGAGATGATCGAATTACCAATGAACCTTTCATCTTGGCGTCCCAAGCAGAGCAAGTTTGGTATGTTGCAGACCCGTTACAACCAGACTGGCAAGTCGTGGTGAAGATGTCTCAAAGAGGTTTATTTTATATGAGTTCGACTGATCCACAAATCGAGCCATACATGAGCCAATAATTGGAAGAAAATATAATGCTTTGTGATGAAGAAGTTGGTTGGGTGAGGGAAGCCGCAAAAGGGGAAACAGTTGATGTTCAAATAGGCTGATATTTAATCAACATTAGTAATTCAATTAAGGCCAAGGTTGTAGTTAATAATCAATTTCTTAATTTACTTTGTCTTTGTAATTGTATTAGTTCAAATCATGTCATATTATAGTTGATGACAAACCATTGTCTATGTTTCTAATGTCAATTAATGTTATATTGCTTGAAGATTATTATGGGAAGGAAGAGGAAGCCTGATCATCCCCGGCGCATGATGTCTGATGTGCTACATAACAGGACATCAGTAGCACCACCATTAGAGGAGGCATCACATCGGCCAGCATCACATCGGCCAGCATCGGAGGGGCCATTAGTGCCACCACCATCTGAGGGGCCATTACCACCGTATCGACCACCATCAGTGGCACCACAGCAGCTACCATGTACTCGGCCTCCACGCCTACCATCGGTGCGTCCACCATCAGTGGCACCACAACAGCTATCATCCCGACTAGAGTCATCAGCTTATGAGCCATCCGCAGGTATATAAATTTGCTTTGATTTGTATGAAAATTATTTACACATATATTTATTTATGCTCATTATATATAATTTGTTTATTCTCATTGTATTTTGCAGACCCTTCGACTTCTTCACAGCCCACCTCAGGTTTATTTGATATGATTTGTATTCACATTATTTAAATTTGCATTTGTTTATTACCATTGCATATTGTTTATTGTTATTGTATCTCGCAGGTCATGTTAGTTCTTCATCAACCTCGACTAGGCGTGGTAGAGGATGTTCCAAGGGCATTAAAGAGTGGGGTACTGGTAAAAAGCTGGACAAACAATTTGATGCAAATTACTGCCCAATAGGGGATAACGTGGCCAAGTTAACTACTCAACTTGGCATTATTGTGCGGCATGGTAACATTGTTCCTCTTACTTTTCTTGACTGGAACAATGTGCCTGATGATATTGTTGATGCTATCTGGAAGGATGTGAAGGTAAAAGTATATTTTTGTCCACAAATTCGAATTCTAAATTTGTGTTATACTTAGCCTTAAACTTTGAAATTGTGTTTTATAGGACAATTTGAATATATGTCCAGAGGAGTACAAGCCAATTTGCATGAAAAACTGCAACAGGATATGGAAGGATCACAAGAACAAGATTAAGGCTAAGTATTTCAAGCCTAGAAGTTCTAATCCTAATCTGAAGGATGATGTTCCTGTGCACATTGTGCCAAGCTAGTGGGAACAACATGTGGAGTATTGGCGTACTTCCGATGCTGAGGTATACAAATAAGTTATATTTATGATATGTAAACATACAAATCATATTTACATACTCACATTTGTCGAACCTGTTATAGAAAATCGCAAGTAGGAACGCTAAAAATCGGCGAGCTCACGGCATAGCTCATACCACAGGGCGTACTACTTTCTCTCAGATACGGCATGAGGTTTACATTTTATTGTTTTATTTTTGTATATAAATAAACATTGTACATTTACAAATTATTTACATTCTAATTTTCATATTTCTAAAAAAAAATTTAGATGACCAGTAAGGGGGAGTCTACTGATAAGATGAATGTTTGGCTTATGACACGTAGAGTAGATGACCCAGAGGTTATCCAGACCTTGGTAGTTTCCAAACACCTTTGATTGTATTTAAAGTTTATTTTTTGTGTGTCAACCATCTTAATTTGGCATATACTTGTATGTCTTATTCAACACAGGATGAGTTTAATCGTCAACTCTCTATGCTACCTGAGGATGGTCGGACTTTGGAGGCTAGGAATATCCATTTTCCAGAGTTGATAGGTATGAACGGACATGGATATTGTCGCACATTACGGGAGAATTGTGCTCAGAGAGCGGTGTATAAGATGGTGCTGGGCATCACAGTCAATACCCCAGCCATCGACTATTAATCAGATCAGCAGCAGGTTCGTGCGAAGCTAAAGGAATGAGTTGAGGGAGGAGCTGCGAGCAGAGTTCTCTACACATTACAGCAGATGAGGCTAGATGATGAGCCTTGTGTCACAGGGGGCGAGTGTGGATCCAACAGACGGTTCCATATAAATTAAATTGTTTTGATAGTGTCAATTTTCACTGAAGATTATGTATAAATTAAAATATGATTAAGACTTATGCATTGTAACTAGTTCTTAATGCATCGAGTGGCCACCGAGCATTTAGGGAATCTTGCAGAAGACGAGAATCCATATACACCACCACCAGAAGATCAGGTATAAAATGTATCTTTGCATTCTAAGCTAAATGTACTTTGCTTCTAGTTAGAGACTTGTGGGAGAAGACGGGACTAGTTTAAAGCCGGATTTAGCACGAAACTTGGCACACACGAGCCGCCTAGGCATAACGAGAACTTATGGGAGAAGACGGGGCTCGAATCGGGTTCCCGGTTTGGGAGTTAGAGTCGGATTTCATTTTAGGCAAACTACTTCTTTAAGAAACTTGAATTCGAGGCATTAACGCCCCAAAATCACCAAACGGCGTCGGTTTAGCACGAAACTTGGCACACACGTCCGCCTAGGCACGAGAGACTTGTGGGAGAAGACGGGGCTTGAATCGGGTTCCCGGTTTGGAAGTTAGAGCCGGATTTCACTTTAGGCAAACTAGTTTCTTAAAAAACTTGAATTCGAGGAGTTAACGCCCCAAAATCACCAAATAGCGTCGGTTTAGCACAAAACTTGTCACACACGACCAACTAGGCACGAGAGACTTGTGGGAGAAGACGGGGCTCGAATCGGGTTCCAGGTTTGGGAGTTAGAGTCGGATTTCACTTTAGGCAAACTAGTTCCTTAAAAAACTTGAATTCGAGGATTTAACACCCCAAAATCACCAAACGGCGTCGGTTTAGCATGAAACTTGGCACACACGACCGCCTAGACACGTGAGACTTGTGGGAGAAGACGGGGCTCGAATCGGGTTCCCGATTTGAGAGTTAGAGTCGGATTTCACTTTAGGCAAACTAGTTCCTTAAAAAACTTGAATTCGAGGAGTTAACGCCCCAAAATCACCAAACCGCGTCGGTTTTGCACGAAACTTGGTACACACGTCCGCCTAGGCACGAGAGACTTGTGGGAGAAGACAGGACTCGATTCGGGTTCTCGGTTTGGGAGTTAGAGCCGGATTTCACTGTAGGCAAACTAGTTCCTTAAAAAACTTGAATTCGAGGAGTTAACGCCCCAAAATACCAAACGGCGTCGGTTTACCACGAAACTTGGCACACACGACCCCCTAGGCACGAGAGACTTATGGGAGAAGACGGGGCTCGCATCGGGTTCCCAGTTTGGGAGTTAGAGTCGGATTTCACTTTAGGCAAACTAGTTCCTTAAAAAACTTGAATTCGAGGAGTTAATGCCCCAAAATCACCAAACGGCGTCGGTTTAGCACGAAACTTGGCACACACGACCGCTTATGCACGAGAGACTTGTGGGAGAAGACGGGGCTCGAATCGGGTTCCCGGGTTGGGAGTTAGAGTCGGATTTCGGTCTAGTCAAAATTATTTACTAAACTATCTTTCTAATTATATAGTAGTTAATTTTTTTATATTTTTCTGTAATTAAAATATTAACACCATTATATTGTTATTAATTATTTTTATTTTATTTTTTTCAGATATTTCCTGAGTAGCAACTTGCTTCTTGTGGAGTGCGGGCGTGTAAAGATTATGACGAACTTCTATTTTTGTAACCCACGAAAGAATCAAGACGAAAACTTTTGGTTTTGATTTGTGTTATTTAAATTTGTGAACAACATTATGTATGTATTATGTGACATTATGTAGTCGCATAATTTTTATTGTTATGAATTTTTATTTATGTATTGTTATGAATGGAACAACATTATGAATTTTCATCATTTGTCAACTTTTGTTTATGTATGTATTTATATTATTATGTAATTTTTGGATTTTTTTTAGTTATTTTTCATTTAATACAGGTGATTTTTATATTTTTAATAATTTGTAAACAGAATTTTTTTTTAAAAATTTTTTTGAGACGGCAGAATACCCCGTCGAAAAAAAAATATATATATATACCAGGCTTTTTGCGACGGCACCCATACTGTCGCAAAAGGTACAGAATTTAATAAAAAAAGGCTTTAGCGACGGTATAATTCCCGTCAAGAATAGTCATTAGTGACGGCTCACGTTGCCGTCGACTATAGCCAAAAGCGACGACACTTTTTAGCGACGGGATTTTTGGCGTCGCAAAAACCTCTTTTACCGACAGCAAGACTCTGCCGTCGCAAAAAAACCCAAATTTCTATCCATTATTGGCAACAGAAATTTGCCTTCGCAAAAGAGAAATTTTTCTGTCGCTAAAACAACGGCGACGACACTTCCCGTCGCCAAAGGCCTTTTGCTACCCCCTGTGTTGCGACCCCCACTTGCCGTCGCAAAAAGAGATTTTACCGTCGCAAAAGGCTTTTGAGACGGCGTGCGGGAGTATTTGCGACGGCGTTTTGCCGTCACAAAAAACATTTTTTTTTGTAGTGTAAATTTAGGTTCAAAATCAAGGCAATTGAAAGTACATAGATTAAAATGGCACAAGAGATAAAGTACAAAAACTACCATTATAATTTGTAAAAAAAAAATAATTTGAGGTAAAAATGCATTAGCACTAAATCATTACATTCTAACTAAATTGATACAGGGGACCAAGTTTAATCACATTCAATCAATATAGTAAAAAAGAAAAAATTAGCTTCTCTCAAGTTTGTCATTTCAATTTAAGAACTTGAGAGAACGTTTAGGTTTGGTAAGCTCATTTTAAAATCAATTTTAGTAATCCAAATTGTTCACTTTTTACAACTCGTAGAGTAGAATATTCATGCAAAAAATAAAGATGATCAGACATCGGTAATTATATGTTCAAATTAAATTTATATCACAAAAAATAAATGACTACTCTTAAAATTATATTTATCATTCATATTTTAAAAATAAATATAATTCAAACATATACCTACTGAAATCTAATCATTTTATTTTTTACATAAATATTTTACTCAATAAATCTTAAAAAGTAAACGATTTAAATTACCGAAATTAATTCTAAAATATGTGGGGCAAACCTACACACTCTCAAATAAAGATACAATTTGAAAAAAAGTTTGTAAAAAAAAAACTAGCGATTGGCAAAGTACTAACTTCAATAAGAGAAAGTGAAACTCACATTTTTATTGAGTAACAAGAAAATAGCAATTGGTGTCTGGCATGAGTCATGTGGTGCCTCATGTGTACCAAATAAATTTTTCTTAAGGGAATGTAAAATAGAACCAAAACCTATTTGGTTAGAAGATTTGATGAGAAAAAGGAAAAACGAAAAAGGAAAAAGGAAAAAGAAATAGAAAAAAAAATGAGAAATAATTGATAGAATTCAAATTCCAAACTATTTTTGGTTGAGTTGAGAAATGGAGAAAGAAAAAAAAAAACCTAAGTGAACTCAAAAAATAAAAACTGTGTTTGCATTTTTTTCTCACTTTTTATTTCTTCGTTGTGTTTTTCATTATAATTGACGTGGGTAAGCCCATAAAGACTATAGCCCAGCATTTAGGGCCCAATATTACGGGCAAGCTACCTCGGCAAACAAAGATCTGCAAAGTTATTGCCACAACACATCGCCATTAATGAGGCCCCTTACAGTATTTATTGCGATAACCCCTCTCTGTTGGGACAGAACGCCTTCACCTTGAGCAAGGTAAGCTAAAGCATAGACTTTTGGCCAAGGTGACAGGTCAGAAGGGACAACGTAATGATTACCAAAGGATATAAGCAGACGTCGAAGATAAGAAGAAGGTTAAGCTTTTCTATCTCTGATCTATCCGCATATTCCACTTCTCTCTCTAACTTGCTCGTCGGAGGGTTCGCTGGGGGACTCCCCGTTCCCCGTTGAACTTTTGTGTAGGTTTTCTAGTGGGCTTGGTCATTCGGAGATAGGCTTGAGGAGCGTGGATCAGTCTAACCTGTTCCACTTGGAATGAACTGCATCATTAGTTGGCGCCGTCTGTGGGAAACGTTTCTTGTTCCGTGCGCCAGTTGTGCTCATTGCCGCCGGAGACTCTCTCCCGATAACTCCCTCCTACCACCTGTGAAGGTGGATGGTCACAACTAGATCCATGGCTTCTCACCCCAATGTTCCCGATCATCAAGCCGACCCTCCCAATCCAAATAACCCACCACTGTATTTCACCGAGCTCACCAACAGCATTAACCGCTTGACCGAGCAAAACCAAGCCCTGATTAACGCTCTACTCCAAAGAAACCTTCATATGCCTCCTCCACCACCTCCAGATATTCCCCCCAACCAAGAATGAGCCTCGAGCCATACTATCCTACAGCCTAATCCAGACAACGTGGAAGGCTTGCAACCCCCTCCCCCAGGTATAAACCTGCCACCCCAAGGCCCACAGCCATCGATTCCGGCACCAACCCCTGAAGGAGAGGCCAGCAGCGTCCAGCCCCCGCTGCCCTCCGATGGTGACAACATCCCTCTCTGGGACGCAGAACTCCGAGCCATGAAGCTCCAACTCCAAGGGGTCATGCAGAATATACAGCATAAACCATATACCACAGCCAACTCCCC